TATAAACAAGACAAATATGATGAAGCATTTATATATTTTCAAGAAGCACTTACAATTCTGGAGAAGTATTACAATAACTTTCATGTTGATATTGCTAAATGTTTGTCGTCTATTGGGCATTATTTTCGTGAACAAAGAAATTATGATAAATCTCTTGAATCTCATCGACGATCATTAGCAATCTATGAAAAATACTATTCTTATGATCATGTATGTATTGCTTTGACACTCAATAACATCGCAGATATTCTTTGCGGACAAGATAAAAATGATGAAGCTTTGCATATTCATCGTCGAGCACTGACAATGCACAAGCAATTTTTTCAATTTGATCATATCGATATTTCGAAATATTTGTGCACTCTTGGTCATATTTACTCTGGACAAGGACATTATGATACTGCTTTAGAATCCTATCAGCAATCATTAGCAGTAGTGAAACAATATTTCTTCTCTGGTCATACGGATATTATCTGTCTTTTGCATAATGCTGGTGTTGCTCTTAACAATTTAGGAAAATTTGATGATGCTATGAACTTTCATTGTCAAGCACTTGCTATAGAAGAAAAATATTATCCATCATTTCAAGCCAAAATAGCACAGACATTCATGTACATCGGAGATGTTCTTAGATGTCAAGAGAAATATGAAGAAGCTTTAGATCATTATAAACAAGCATTAATGATGCAAAAAAATTATTATCCTTTAGGTCATGTGAATATAGCTTTTACACTTCAAAATACAGGTATTATATTATCCCAACAAGGAAAATACGATGAAGCTCTTGGTTTTTATCAACGAGCATTAGAAATGAGAGAAACATTCGATCCATCTGCATATGAGAGTATCGTTGCTATACTCGACAACATTAGCTATACACTGAAGGATCAAACAAAATACGATGAAGCCCACAATTTTCTAAGGCGAGCACTCGTGATTCGAGAAACTCATTGTTCATCTAATCATCTACAGATTGCACATAATCTCAACAATATCGGTATTATCCTCTTCAATCAAACAAAATATGACGAATCCCTTATGTTTTATCAACGAGCTTTAGAGATTAGAGAAACATTCGATCCATCTGGTTATGAAGGTATTGTCGTTATGCTCAGTAACATTAGTCATGCACTTAAGCAAGAAAAAAGATACGATGATGCATTGTCTTTTCTATATCGAGCTCTTAACATACGAGAAACTCACCTTCCATCTACTTACGCACAAATTGCTCGTAATAGCAACGGTATTGATCTTATCCACTACGAACAAGAAAAATACAATGAAGCTGGTGAGTACTATGAACGAGCATTAGAAATCACAGAAACATTCAATGCATCTGCTTATGATGATATCGCTGTTCTACTTAGTAACATTAGCCTTACATATAAGCGGCAAGAAGATTACGTTGAGGCACTCGATTTTCGAAATCGATCACTTGAAATATGAGGAACTCATCTTTTATCAAATCATCTATAAATTGCCGATGCGACTACAACAAGAGCATTGCTGTGAGTTTAATTATTTCTCAATTTATTCAACCAAATTTCTTAACATAATACAATGAGAACAAAAGAACAATGAAAAAAAGAACAAAAAACAGAGCATGGACAAATTGAAAATGAACATCAATTTTTCCATCTTGAGATGAAATTGAATGTAAGAAAATAAGTACTTTGATTTTTCTTATATAAATTGACCATAAACATGAAATGAAAGAACAAAATAAACTGCGCCACATCATTCTATTATCCAAAATAAAAAACAAAGTTCAGTTTGAAAATTGAAACAGTTTCTTGATTTTAATACTATGAATTTTTTTTTTCTTTGTTACAGGCATTGATCGAGGATCTTTCATCCTAAAATCATGAAACAAAAAGTAAATATGAACTATTCTTTGTAATGGATTTCATTCAAAGCACCTTGCAAAAGTATGTTCCGGTTTAATTAACTTTATTTTGTGTAACATTATATTAATCTCCTCATCGTCAACAACTTAAATGGATGTGTCCACAGAGTTCTCAGAATTAACAGAAAAACAGCTCTTAACGGACAGACTATTTCAAGCACATACATAACTCTACGGTGCTGTTTTTTCTTATTTGAATACTGATGACCACAATCATAGAGTAATCTTCTCAACAGAAATTTATTTTCAATGTCTAACTGTTTCTGAAAGTGATACCAAGAAATAATAGTAGCAGCATACAGAAAACTAAATAGTAGGTGACGGACATCTTTAATGAATGATTATGAAAAAAAGAAGAACATTTGTCAAACATAATTCATTATCAACGTGTTGTAAATACATGAAATAAAGTCTCATTGCTATAATATTATAATAGATGACTTACATTGAACTTGTGCTTGTTCAAATCTTGAAGTTAAGTCTTTCATAATTGTCTCTATGAAAGCATGCCTAGAACAAAAGCAATCGTAGTTGTTGATAAATGTCAGAAAATACTAAAAAAAACTTACTCTTTCATTATAAATAATTCTTTGTTTTTGTCAATATTTTCCCCGATCTCTATCAAATAATTGAAATCGTCGACAACATCTACAAGATATAATATGTTCAAGAATTAATTTTGGAATTCTTGTTTTTTTTTTATTTCAAACTTACCTTTATAATGACCATTTTCAAAATTAAAATATATTCGTTTCATCACATAATAAACGACCTGTTTTTTTTCAACAGCATTATCTTTGTGAAGGTTTTTTTTCCTGTAATTTATAATTTTAGCCAATGCCTAGAATATAAAAATAAGATAATTCATACATTTTATGAATATTGTATTACTACATACTGCAAGTGCTCCAACATGATTATTATCCTCTAAACAAATATCTAAGTTCATAAATTCACTCATTATATTATCATTATCATTATTAGCCATAGCTGAACAATTATCTGAAGGGAAAGGAAGTTACAAACATTAATATATATAATCGTCTACATAAAGCTAGACTAATTTTAAAATGAATAAAATAGTCGAACGCTAAACGAACAATTGAACAAAGACAATATGTCCATACAGTATACATTGGATCAGAAAAATAAAAAGAAATAAATTATAGACAAATATATGAGCCAATCATCGTGTATAAGATGTGCCTTGTCGTCTGTTAAATTCAACATGAAACAAAATTCATATGATCTTCTTCTACTTCAATTTTCTCAAATTTCTCTCTTCAGCCTTTGGAAACAAGTAGAGAACATTATCTTGAAAGATAATTTAAAAGATGTTTTCAATCAAATCTTAGTATTATAAGATCATTTATTGTTGAGAGATAATAAAAGTCTATTTACATGATTACCATTCATGTTTGTGATCTTCGATTATTCAATTTATTTATTGCTAAAATACTTCATTCAACCGATCAATAAAAAACACATATGGCAAGTCCTATCATATTAATCCCTTCAAAATTTTGTTTTCGCGTGCAGATACAATAAAAATTACATCAGTGAAGAGCGTGAAAAACTGAGTACAATGTGAACATTTTCTTCACAGAATATGCTCAAGTTGTAGCGAACTTTTCTTATAATAAGATTTTCCATTTTTTTGTTGCCACATACGCATGTATACATGAGTATGATCGTTCAAATATAGTACATGCAATATTTTGAAAAAAAGAATCTAATTAATACTATTATATTGATGATATTGTGTATATTTTGATATCTTTATTTACAAATAATCTATACCGAGTATTCTTACATAGATAGATGAAGATAGAGTTTTATCGGCTAGACAATAATTATTTTCTTTTTTGAACGATTCTTATCTTATACCTAGTTGGTATCGTACGAAGAGTCTGACTGTGGAGTGTGGTTATCGTTCCTTTACGCACACCCAGAATATTCGAAAAAAATGCTCGCTGTATTATGTTAACAATTTGAATTGATCAAAATTGTTGACGGCATTTGGATATTATTCGTCTAAAAGTTACTCAGTGTAGCTTGTCAGACGATTACAACGAGATGTGCTGCATCGTTCAGAGTATTTAGAGCTTATTGAACTTTCCACTATGTTGTTTTAATCGCCTTTTTTCATATTTACTATATGGATGATATAAATATCATTGAATTTCGAGCTTGAAATTCTTTAGTCCATGACCTAATTGTTGTTACATTGATTCTTGGATGCGTTAACGATAGTATTGTGAGTGAGAAAATTGAAACTCGATTAATCGATTATTCAATAAAGGTAATTTCTAGCAAGGCTAATACATGTCGAGTGGTTTGGAGAGATCCATTTCTGCTTCAGCATTTCCTAGGAAATCAAATTCAAGACAAGAAAAACATAGCGTCATTTAGAAAGTGTGTCAATATTGGTGGTACCTGATACTGCAATTCTAGATTCAGGTAAGAAGAGAGCATCACTAAAGATGATGATTTTGTTGATGAATAGAACGAAAATGGCTTCCAATATGTTTTGTTTTCTATAGTTCAATTTCTATCTATAACCAAAGGAAAAGTTTCCTAACAATGTCATTTATTTTGGCACAGATTCTAGCTGGTAAAATAGTGCCTTCGTTTTAATAGGTCCATGTGCCGGCACAATATCCTGAAGTATTAGATAGACACACGTTTAGTTGTTACCAATCATTTTTCTGTCGAAAATAATCATATTCCAATGGAGTTGAATGAGAAATTCATGCATTGTTCGTACACCCATTCTCAAATCGGATCTCTCCATGAAAGAATATTCAAACGACATTGATCGACTAAGTCAAAAAATTTCTTATCAGATATCAATGATCCAGTAATCGAAATTTGCATGGAACATGAATACTGATTCTCTTCGATCTTATTTATATTTACACAAGAGTAAAAAAATCATTACAATCAAAATCTCGATGATAGAAATCGTTCATTTCGTCATCAATCAACAAAAAGAAACACCAGAATTACAATTTCGATTTGACAGTTGTAACTGACAATTTATAATTGTCTTTAAAGTTTTGCACCTCTGGTGGCAGAGGAGGTGATTCAATCAATCCATAGCCAACATCTGCAACTAGCATTTGAGGTGACAGAGATTGGGTGGTGACCGCGATTCGAACTAAAAGACAACAAGCTACTTCTTGATTCTTGTCGAGAATCATCGATTGTGAGATGTAGAAAGCATGTTCATCCCATCCGACTAAACGAGCAATAAACGAAAATCGATCACCTCGTAACACACTCTGCCGATATTGAATTTGAATGCCACTGACAAAGAGAGATATTTGGCGTTCTTTCTTTCTTCGAGCATTGAGTGCGTCCCACAGTCCAGTGTCGAGAATCAGAGCAAATCGACTAAAATCAGCTTCACGTAAATAGAGAGCATTGTTCATATGACAGTTCTAATATTATTGTGACATGAAATAGTCCTCAATATATTTGTAAAATAGTTGATTACATATCGAATAAGAGGTTTTCAGAACATATAGAATAGATGTAGAAATGATGTTTACAATCTATTCAAGAATATGTATATCAAGTTGAAGAAAAGTTTAAATAGGATTTTGAAATATATTAAAGATTTCGATCATACAAGATTGGCAAATATATCTCAAAAATGATCTGAGATATATATAAAGGGTATGTAATAAGTTCTGATCCTCTTCGAGTAATATTCTTTTCTTATATGTTTTTTTCAGTAGAATAGATTGATATTTGTAGCATATATACTAGACATCCAGATCTATTATACAGTACAGTTTCAGCTTTCTACCTGTTCTAGTCAGAGAGATAGAAGTAACCTAAAATTAGTAGGAATTTTGTATTTATTTTTAGAAACAGTATGGATGAAAATATTATAATTATTCGATCGATCCCTCATAACGAGCAACTTTTATTTTTCTGTGTATCACTCTTGCGTTCTATCATTTATCTACGTGGTTATTAACAGAGAAGAATTGTATGATCTCTTTTTTATCTGATGTTAATAACTTGCAGAAACAATAAAATTTACGAATGAGTTACATGAACAGATAAACTGACTTTTTCTGACTAAGTGAATTGATTTATATATCATTTTTATAATTTTGAATCAAATTATCATTTTATTTTTACATAAAGACAACAAACTCTAATTACATATCTAGAATGATACAAATTTACATTTGATAATTTATACTGATATTATGCTAAATATTTCCGAACATAAGAAAGACTTTAGATCAATTGTATTATGTTTGAAAAATCTGAATCCATCATAACAAGCACTCTAAGTTTCAAGTTTTATCCAAGAATCAGAAAATCTTTCGTTATTGGAAAGGCATCAACTTTTATAGAATTCCGATTTGTAAATCTTGTTAAAATCATTATTTTTTATTTAACATCCTTAATAAAACGATAGAAAAATCTTTACAGATGAATCAAAAAATTCCTATTAAATTTACGTTATTTGTATATCTCTGATTATAACATGTAGAAAGCTGAAGTTCTAGTGTAAAATAGATCTAGACGTCTAGTATATATGCTGCAAATATCAGTTTATTCTACTAAAAAGCATATAAGAAAAGACTATTACTTTAAGAAGATCAGAACTTATCACACGCTCTTTATATGTATGTATATCGTTGTAGATACAAATTGATTTTCTTTTCATGAGCTAGTCGCGTTGCACTGATATACAGTGCGTGTCAAAAGTCTGGCCCCACTTTTTTATTTTGAGTCGTGTATTAAAACTGCACAAGATTAATTTAATCCAATTATATGTTTGGATACCAGAGATCGAGTACTATATATACCTGTTCGATTCGAAAAACTCTTGAATATGAAATACAATAAGATAAACAAACTTCAATACTAAGAAAAAAATGACATAAAAAACTACAGAATGATATTGTTGTTATAGGATACTTCCACGGTCAGTCAACCACGAAAAACACAAAGTATGCAGAAAAGTTTTCATTTTATCAGACTTTATAGAACTTTTTTCACTGATCATTTTGTTAAAAAAAAGTATTTTAAATTTCATTGAGAAATGACGGTATTATAATCAAAATATTAAATACTGTGAAATACCGAGTGTTCTAAAAATGTTTGCAACATAGTTTATTTTGCGAAATTCTCTGCACGGATAAGTGATAAAATCTTGGTTTTTATTTAAAAAGGTGCGCTGTGAAAAGCTCTACAAAAACTGTAAGAACAAACTCTGTTGGCTTCTTTTGATGGTTTATTCCATACTCAAAATGAAAAGAAAATACATGATAGTGCTACTTCCCATCAAATTTAACATAATAAAAATGCTTGGACGACTGTTATATTTTGCATGTATCTCGGCTTAAGAAAACGATAGCATCTTGATTTTTTTTTCAAAAGATGCGCCGTCGAAAGCTCTACGAAAGTCGTATAAAGAGATTCCTATTGCACAACAAAAACCCTTCCAAACATTTTTCTAATCATTTTGTAGTTTTTTATATCATTTTTTTCTTAGTACTGAAGTTTGTTTATCTTATTGTATTTCATATTCAAGAGTTTTTCGAATCGAACAGATATATATATATATATAGTACTCGATCTCTGGTATCCAAACATATAATTGGATTCAATTATTCTTGTGCAGTTTTAATACACGACTCAAAATATAAAAGTGGGGTCAGACTTTTGACCCGCACTGTAATTGTGCTATAAAGCAAGAACTTATGGAAGCAGAAAAAGAAGTAAGAGATATCATAAATTTTCATTTTCATTTTAAACCAGATAAATTAAAAAAGAATTAGAAGAAGTACAAACGCATATCAATGCATATGCAAATTATAGTGCACCACAAAATGTAAAATAGTTGAAAAAGTATTATTAGGAATTATTGAACACAGCTGTAGGGATAAGGAGGTAAGCATTTTATATTCATCAAAGACGTCACCATATTTATTTCATGTGTTCTTTTTTAGATGAAAT